ATTCAAAGAATTAAAAGCTTATAAGCAATTAAAGCAACCAGATAAAGCCATTTCACTATTATTTGAAAAAAGGCAAATAAGGCGTAATAAAAAAACCTGATAAACCAAAAATAAACAAAAACTTGAAAATAATATTTATTTTTGGAGTTTTAATGGAAGACCAATTTTTAACATTTTTTAAATTAGTAGTTAGTACTGTCGTTGCACACCCTACTCTCCCCCCAAATTACGCTCCTGTTTCAACTCTGACGGTGCTCGAATAATAATACATAAAATAATGTAATATTTCGTTTTCATACCTGCGTTTTATATCCTTGAAAGCTGTCGTCGTTACAATTGGTGGTATCGAAATGACGACACTGCGATGTTTTGCGATTTTAACAGTGTAGATAATAATATATGAATCATATTTGCGAAAATCCAAATATTACTTGTTCATCAAAATTCAAAACATATTATTCGGGAAACTGGCCAAAACCCCATTTTTTGTTTCTTCGAATATTCATCGGAAAATCCGATTGGTTGCGGTCGTCTGTCGTTTGACAGTGTTTTTTTTTTGTTCAACAAAGGGGTGTGGGTACGCTATAAATCAAGGGACACTGCTCTCCGAGTGCGCTATTATTGCGTTTGCATCTATTCGAGAAACAGAAATCGCATCGAGGGGTTATCGTAAACTATAGATTCGTCGGATGATTTATAGGCGTGAACGTGTGGGGCCGCTCTCCTGCCAGATTTTGTTTTCCAATCGGTCGCGGGTCCATAAAGTATATTCGTGTGTGATAAAATACGATAGTGTATTTCATCAAACGGAATAATATCATATTATTATTATTCGGTCGACGAACGACGATAAAGGTGTAGATACCTACCATAATACGATGCCATTAAGTGACGTAATATTATGATTATTTACCTCTGTAGCCACCGCGAACTGCCGTGAGATGAAAACATCATCGGAACAGCGGTTGTTTTATTTTAATTTTGGATCGCTCGATCATCGTCGACGATTGACGGTGCCAAGTAATCCCACGGGTCGTACGTCGAAAAAGATATTATTATTATTATTATTATTATTGTTATACACACAATGCGTGTGTACGTCGTAATAATAAATTGTATATTCGTGAGTGTGTCGGGACGACGTGGTGGTGGTGGTGCTTTCGGCAGAGTTTCACACATCAAATGCATATATACATAAAAGTGTGTGTGTGTGTGTGTGTGTGTGTGTGTGTGTGTGTGTGTGTGTGTGTGTGTGTGTGTGGTAAGGGTAGGCGTTATATAATATGTATGTAGTTTAAATATTATACGTCGTGGACGGGTAGGTTTCTGTGTAGGTTTAATAATAGTTATCGCAGAAAGCGTCCGGAACAACAATAACTGATATTGGCATCGTTAATATTATCCGTCAGGCGACGGCTATTCGATAAATTAAAACGGTTGTTTCCGTCCTCGGAAGACGTATACACGGTGGGATTATATCTGTACTTATTATTATAGTTTCTACGAGCGCATATATATATATTTATGGGTAATATAGCAGCAGCGGTATAATTGAAACAATAGTAATAATAACAATAACATAAAATACGCATCATCGATTCGTTAGCGTTTAATCTACCTACCTAATATTACTAACGACGACTACGACGACGATGAAGACGGCTAATAGTTATACGTCTCCGGCGCAAATAAGCGAAAAATACGCGAACAAAAGCCATTTGATAAAAAAAAAATATCAATCGCGTTTACTGGAATCACTTGCTGCACTAAATTCGGCGAGTTTGTGAAAACCAAAAGCAACGCGTCCGAAAACAGATTTTCAACTTGTCGCACGTCTCGACCAGTCATTTTAATAATAATAATTATATCTTAACCGTAATAATATTATCAATAGATAAACGTTATTTACAACTATTTGCGATATGTGTCGTGTCATCGTCGTCTAATATCGAATGGTAAAATATAATATCGTTTGCGCTTGACAATAATGTGGTCGTAGGTAAGCAAACCGTTAAAACGGTCTTATCATTACAGTAAACGCGTTTCTGCGGACGTCAAAAGTCAAATCGGATTCGGTCACAGAAATGGGAAAAAAACAATCTTTAAGTGTGAATGTAAAATTAGTATTCATAATATGATTAACTTATCTCGTCAAAACGTGTTAAAAATATTATTAGTGATACCTTACGCCGATGTCTAATCGTTTGCAGTTTTAAATACCAATTAGAATTCGTTGTATATTGCCGTTACGGTGATGCACTGATACCTGACAGAACCGACCGTCGTCCGATATATTATCCATGGTTGATTAATGATTATAATATGTGTAATGATTATAAAATAATGACTTAATAACAGGGCTTGCAAACGTTATAATAACGTTATGATTATAACGTTATATTTGATAAAAAACGATTGAAATTTGTAAACGTAATTATAACGGAAAACGATAAACGTAAATAAATAAATAACACAAAACAAAACGTAACGTTTAACAAAATATATGATGTATCATTAAACAAAACATA